CTCTCCCACTCATCACCCTCGCCTCACCCCTTCTCTCCTCTCCGCCACCTCATCACCTCCCCTCCTCCCCCTCCTTCACCGCCCCCGCCTCGGCCCTTCTCGGATACACAAGGAAACCGAGAAAGCTGCGGCTCCGGGAGGCGAGAGGAGGCGTGTCCCGCCGACACCTTTCCCCCCCCTCCCCTTCCTTCAGCCACCCCCTCCCACCCCTTCCCCTGCCGTGGCACGCTCTCTGGCTGCCTGGCACCCGTGGGCGTGAGTCAAAACCTGATACTCACCTGCCTCCTTCGCCTTGTTATTCTTAGACGTTATTCTTTGATTTTATTTCTCTTCTAACTTGTTTTTATAACCTATTTATTTGTGTGTGTGCACAGAGAGAGAGAGACAGACAGAACAAGATAGAGAAGAGAGAGAGAGAGAGAGAGAGAGAGAGAGAGAGAGAGAGAGAGAAGAGAAAGAGAGAGAGAGAGAGAGAGAGAGAGAGAGAGAGAGAGACGGAGAGGGCAGACGACCGAGAAATGTGCAGGAAGAGAGAAGAGAGAGTGAGAGAGAGAGAAAGGCAACAGAAATGTGCAGAGAGAGTAGAGAGAGAGGACGAGGAGAGAGCAGAGAGAGAGAGAGAGAGAGAGAGAGAGAGAGAGAGAGAGAAGAGAGAGAGGAGAGAGAGAGAGGCAGAGACAGAAATGTGCAGAGAGAGGAGAGAGAGAGAGAAAGGCAAACAAGAAAATGTGCAAGAAGAGAGAGAGAGAGAGAGAGAGAGAGAGAGAGAGAGAGAAGAGAGAGAGAGGAGAGAGAGAGAGAAGAGAAGAGAGAGAGAGAGAGAGAGAGAGAGAGAGAGAGAGAAGAGAGAGAGAGAGAGTGAGAGAGAGAGATGAGAGAGAGAGAGAGAGAGAGAGAGAAGAGAGAAGAGAAGAGAGAGAGAGAGAGAGAGCAGAAAGAGAAGAGAAAGAAGCAGACAGAAATGTGCCAGAACGAGGAGAGAGAGAGAGAAGAGAAGAGAAGAGAGGAGGAAGAGAGAGAAGAGAGACGAGAGAGAAGAGAGAGAGAAGAGTAGAGAGAGAAGAAAAAAAAAAAATGGGGTGGCAGCGAGAGAGAAGAGAGAGAGAGAGACAGACAAGAACAGAGGCAGACAACAGGCAGACAGATAAAGACATAAACCCAAGCCGACACAAAAGAACTAAATGAACATATAATAAGTAAAGATGAATAAATAAATACATAAAAACATAAAGTATACTGAAATGCATAAGGAGAAGACAAACAACAACAAAAAAATAGAATCAGACAGAAAGAAATGAAATGCAAACACATGCAGACTACAAAAGAACCAAATACAAAGGACGGAGAAATAAAGAAAGAAAGAAAAAAAGAAGACACATAAAATGCAAATAGAAAAAAAACACAAATATACAAATAAAAACAATAAAAAAAATAAATAAAACAAATAAATAAATAAATAAGACTACACACACAGACTACCAAACGAGCATTCAGACAAACGGAACACCGCCCGCAGAGCAAGGAAGACAAACAACAAACAACCACAGAGACACAACGAGGCACAGGGCAGTCTTGAGCGCCAGTCACTTCGAGGACGACCGCTTGAGTGACACCTCGAGTTGCAACTCAAGGGTGGAGGGGGAGGAGGGGGATGAAGGAAAAGATGAAGAAAGAAGAGAGGAGTAGGGAGAAAGAGAAAAGAAGAGGGGAGAGGAGAGAAAGAAGAAGAGAGAGGGGAGTGGAGAGAAAGAGAAGAAGAGGGAATAAAGGGAGAGGAAGGACGAAGAAGGGTAGGAAGAGAGAAGAAGATGAAATAGCCGGGGAGAAAGGAGGGAGAGAAGGAAGAAAGGAGGAGAAGAAATTAGATATAAAAGCAAGATAAAGGAAGCAGAAGGGAAGGGAAAGGGAAGAAGAGAAAGAAAAGAAAAGAAAAATAGAATACAAGAAGGGAAAGAGGAAGGAAAAGATAGAAGGGAAATGAAAGACAAAACAAAGAAGGAGAATACATAAAAAATAAGAATAAGGAGAGAAAGGAAAATGGAATGAAAAGAGATAGAAAAGAAAAATAGGAAGAATAAAAGATTAAAGGACACAAAAAGCTAACAATAGTAAAAATAATAGTAATAATAATAATAATAATGATAATGATACCTAGCTAATAGAATTATAAAAATAATAGTGAAAATAATAATAATAATAATAATAATAATAATAATAATAATGCAGGATAATAGTAAATAATAATAAGATAATAATAATGTAATAATAAAACAATTATCAAGACAGGAGCATTCTAGCCTACAGGACGCAAGAACAACATAAATCGAGGATAAATAAATAAACAAATAAAAGGGAGGGAAGGGCGAGGGAGGAGAAGAGGGTGGAGTCTACGGCCGTATGTCATGCTAAGGAGATAATGACAACGCACACACACACGCACACGCAGGAGCACGCGTTGTATGTGCGCGTTGAGTTACATCTCCTTGTTTTGAGGAGGAGGGAAGAGGAGAGAGAGAGGGAGGGAAGGGAAGGAGGGACGGAAGGGATCGAAAAGAAAAGATTTGAAAAAAGATTTAGTTTTCAAAATTCCATTTGTCACAATGGATATCTTGTGCTGTGTCATACTGTCTGTTTATTTTGCTTCTAAATCCCCCCTGTGATTGCAAGGAAGGGCCGGGGTTGACCATCCACTGGCAGCGCGCGGGATCGAACGCAGGTCAGCGAGATGCAAGACCAGCACGGTTATCATTGTAACTACCATGCACAGGAGGGAGAAAGAGGGAGGGAAGGGGGAGGGGGAGGAGGGAGGGGAGGGGAGGGGAAGGGGAGGGGGAGGGGAGGGGGCGAAGGGGAAGGGGATGGGGAGGGGAGGGGAGGGAGGGAGGGGAGGGGAGGGGAGGCCGGAAGGGGAGGGAGGGAGAGAGAGAAGAGAGGGAGAGAGAGAGAAAGAGAGAAAGAGAGAAAGAGAGAAAGAGAGAGAGAAGAGAGAGAGAGAGAGAGAGAGGAGAGAGAGAGAGAGAGAGAGAAGAGAGAGAGAGAGAGAAGGGAGAGAGGGAGATGAGAGAGAGAGAGAGGAGAGAAGAGAGGAGAAGCAAGAGAGAGAGATGAGAGAGACAGACTAGGACAGACAGACAGACAGACAGACAGACAGACAGAGAGAGAGACAGCGACAGAGAGAGGAGAGATAGCGACAGAGAGAAAAAAAAACAGAACAGAAGAAAAACAAACATCAGCCAGGTAAACAGACCAACACAGCCAACCCAAGACAGACAGAGACGAGTCTGTAAACACAGCAAGAGACGCGGGTACGAAGAATGTGATTAAAGTCAAGACCCAGTCGTACAAAAGATCATTTCCAATTTTCAAAAAGGAAATTACTG